TGCCCTCATTTATTTATGGATGAAGCTCTGTGGTGTAAAAAACACAGACATTAATAGGTTAATGAGTAGATGTACACTCTGTTATTTATTGTACAAAATTCAAATTGTGAGCTGAAGATGTCATCATTATTTTCTCATGGGTTTATCTAGTGCATCACTATAGTATTTGAGTTATTCTCCAAAAGAAATTTAATAAACTTCACAACACTCCTTAAGGACAACTAGAGCCAAATATCTCAATGCAGTGAGGATTATAGTATGACACAGCCATAAGGACACATAAAATACAAGTTTCTGATTTATTTTTTTTAATTATTTTTTTTTTACCTCTGGATTCTAGATTGGGGGTGGGGGATATTTTTTAGGGAAATGGAAATTTTAGATTCCCTTCATGATCATCTGCCTCTAGATTACACAGTTAAGTGACAGAAGGATTGTCTTTTTAAAAATTTCCTAGTAAAATTGGCAATAAAGATTCATTTTGACCGTGAACTATTTTACTTTCCAAAGTAGGGAACACGGCACATCTTTTAAAAGAATATGATATTAATGAGAGTACTTTGACTTACAAAAGTAAAAATCTGTGGGATTTAAATAATGTAGCCAGCTGATTTGAGAGACCATCCAACATCTGAATTAATATTGGTGATAAATTATTTCTCAGTGAAATTATTCATCCTCAGTAGGAAATTAAATTGTCATAATATGATAGTGTTAAAGAAACAGTATCTCTTTTCTATGCCTACATATGTTGTATGTAATCACTGAACAGCCATTTTTCATAGTGTTATCTATAACATATTCCACTCTATAACATGGAATGAAGTCATGTTGCTTATTTAGTACAAGTCACTGACTTCATTAACTTTATGTTAAAGTCCTGCCTCCCTCAATAACTGATCAGTGAGGGAGTTCTAGAACAGCTGCTCAGTGATAGTGTTATTGCAGAACACTGTTAAAGTAACTGTCTATGAAGATTTAGTTTTACAAATGCATAGATTAATTCATTTAGGTGATTGTATAGTACAAACTAAGTATTGCTTGTAAGCTAAGTGCATTTTCTCCATTCACTCTCCATTTTCTGGCTCAGTCAGGGGTTTGGGAGAATATGGTGTACAAATATATGTTGGTCAGGAAGATCGCCTTGACAAGTTACACCTTAACACAAGAGGAAATGGAAACATCAAATACAAATACAACAAAAAGTGAGGGATAGGTGAGGGGTTTTATCTGGGCTTGGCTTGATGTTGTATAAATAATGGAGGAGGTTCAGATCCCAATCCAGTTTTCTCAGATTATGCTTATCTGAATTGCCTGTGGCACTGCACACGATCATTGCACAGGAGTGAACCACAGTGGAAGGATCTCAGGTGTTTAGATGTGTCAGTCCAGATGTTCGTATACAACAGTTGCAGATAATTGTTTACCACCTCAAGCATTTTCTTGTTGTTAGGAAGATGGAGGTATTTCAAATATTTGCAGAATAAAAATGGTTGATAAATACACCTTCTGGTGATTATACCTGTAGCTGCTGAGTAACTCATTCTTTCTGACAAAGTCATGAAGGACTTTGTCTGACTTTGAGATCCAGTAAACTAACTAAACTACACTTAATTAAGTAACTAAAGTTCTTCAAGTCTCAGCATGAAGCATAAACATAAATAGGGTGTTTCACAAACAGGTCCATCACCACAAACAGACAATCCACCTCTTCCAGGAAGACAGAAAACCCAAGCAGGTCTTAGAGAATTTTCATCAGCATTAAGATATTGGAACAGAGAGTCAAGGATGTTAAATGAGACACAATTCATTTTATCAGAATTAATAGCCTGTCCCCCAAATTATCAAACTTGAACCTGCATAAAAATTTAGTTGATTTACTTTAGAGAAGTGTACATAAATTTGAGAAAGTGTAAGCAATGTCAGAACATTTTCTGCTCAACTTCAGGGAGACATTATTCCAAAGAACTGGTAAGATAGAGTCAGCATTCACAAATTCATAGGAAAAATAATGCCATGTTCTGTGTACTTGAAATTAATCAACTTGTCATTAGATTATTATTACCACTATTACATAACTTTTTCTTAAGTATAATTCTGCTAAAGAAACAAATTTATTGAAAGGCAAAATTCACAAAGTACTGAAGACAATGACATGGGAGTTCTTGTGTTTTATAATTCAGGTGTTTGGCAAATGACATTTTCATCCTGAAGAAATAAGTTGAATTAAATTGGGATTTAGAAGAGTTGTGGAATATAATTTATGTTTTAAAGGCCTGTTTTCTAGTCCTTGATACAACAATTTAACATGGTCCTAATCTTGTTATTTTCTTCTTAATAACTAAAGCACTCAATGAAAATGTGAAAGAGCATGAAGGACTTTTAGCTTAAGGTATCTGTTAGTCGATCAGTTTTGCTTTTCTAGGTAAAACACAATCTTAATTTAAAAAAAAAAAAAAGATTTATTTCTATGTTATAAACTGCTCTTGAGAGAGCAAAGTCATCACTATGATTACACTTGACCTTCACTGCTTGAACTTCAGAAAAATAGTCACAATTCAGAGAGTTAATTAAAATACACAATGCTGAACAAAATTGAAAACTTTCAAAATAGAGGGGGTTTTTTGGTAAGTAAAGCTTCAGGTACAGCTGTTTCTCAGAAAAAATAGACATTTTTTAAAAAATCTCTGTTGTTATAATTATAGTAATAGTTATTATTCTGCAATTTCCCAAATTTGCCAATCTCTTGAATATTATGGCATAATCCTACTGTTAAAATTACATTTGTTGATAAACCAGGTGTTCCATAGATTGGCCTGAAGTATAAATTGGTGTTTTGCAAATCTGACAGTTTTTTCCTGGTATTAAAATCAGTCTATGTATACACACATGAAAACATATAGTTTGTACATGTCCACCTTGATTAGGTCTAATGTAGACCCCAATGCAACACTAAAGTAGCTGATTCTACTTCTTTTAACAGATTTAAAATATATTAATAGAATTATCCATTTGCCCATTTGGGGAGGCTTCTGATTATTTTATAACATTGTTACTTTAGTATTCGTTGCTTATAATAAAGAGACAGAAGAGCTACAGCCAAAGGGCTCAGTCAGAACTGGGATCTCAATAATGCCATTCACTAAATAAACCAGAGCTGGTGCCTGTCAAGGAAATTGATACCTGCACATTGTGTGCACTATATCAAAGCACAGTGTGCTCAGAGCACTCTAATGAGGAGGTAAGCAACACTGAGGGTCAGATCAGAGGGCTGAAACATTCTGCTCTCTATAGGGAAAATAAGGGTTGAATTAAATTCTCTGTAGGTAGCACAGCCACAGGTGGGGAAGTATTTTACTCCTTTGACAAATAAACTTTTCTGAAAAACCATTTCCCAGCTTATTGTCACAGAGATCTTCCATTGAGCACAGCAAAACAACACTGTGATTGATCCTTCTTGTCTGTAATATTTCAAATATGCTCATAAATTAGAAGTCTAGATACCATTTATATGGAAGTTCATGGGGCAGCACGCTTGAGCCTAGGTTACTAAATATATGAAGTTTTATAAAACAGAGTCCAGCTTTTTTTTTTACTGGTTTTACTGCAAAGGATCAGCAGGCTACTTAAATAGCATTGCATATAAAAATATTGCTTGAAAAACCTATCAGTATATGAACCTGTCCATTGAATCATGCTGATTTTATATGATTTTCCACCCTGGCCTTAGTAGTGTAACAGCTGTCATATTTATCACCTCGGTGTTCACTGCTGCCTTCAGTTATCTCAAGTCTTACCTCCTTTGCTATCAGGCTGTGTTCCAGGTCCTGTATTTATCCTGGCCCTTGATCTTCATGGTGACAACTGGGAGGCCTTTATTCCTCTTAAAGAATTCAACCCAGTAAAACCTTATCTTAACTAAACCTCAAACACTACCACAATTTGTTTTTCACCAGTCAGACTTGGAAAGGACCCCAAGTGTTCCTTTTACCTAGTGATAAACTCTGGGAACTGAGAAACAGTCTAAAATTTTCTCTGCAGCATTAAGTCAATTTACAAAATATGCAGCTGCATTCTGTGTCATCAGTGAACTTTTCAGGGAACATAATGTAGATGTTTTCAGTATATTTGTTTTCTTGCAAAACAGAAACAGTCCATTCATCAAGTACAAACTGTGGTTCTCAAGACAGGGGGCTGTCCCATTCCAAAACAGATTGCAGAGGAGTACAGACAGAAAGGAGAGAAGAGTATCTAACTTTTGAAGAACTCTCTCCAGAGGAGCAATGGGCAACGACTTGATGTCCACATGCTACTACTAAAATGGCTGGAATAAATGTCAGCTGTAGAACTGACATTGGGTCAAAACACAGCCCATTTATGCTGCCTTCTCTATTTAGAAAATAATGTTTGGAATTTAGAATAAAATGAAAAAATGTACTTTATCAGCAACTAATCTGAGCTGACTTCCAAACACATTAAGTGAAAAAATGCTTCTCTGAATGTTCAGTTCAAGTCCTGAATCTGGATTTCTGTTTGTCTTCACATTTCTCATCTTAGTTTTTAATATACTTCCAGTCAAGGAGTCAGTTAAGAGGAATTCTACAACATTGGTAAAAAAAAAAAAAAAAACCAAAAAAGAAAAAAAACAACACCACATGCTTGTACCATAAACTTGGTGTAAAAAAACTTTCTTGTTGACCTACAAGACCAATTCAGTTATTTCACAACATGTTTTGGGCAGATAGTCTTTACTCACAATGACTTGTATGTATACACATAGTCTGTGTACTAAATATTATTCAGAAGCAACTACTAAAAATGTGAGTTCTATACAAATCAGTCAAAAGAAATAAAATATTGATTAAATACTTAGCTCTTATAATTCACTGGGATTTTTTATTAGACATTAGCTACATTTTTTGCAGACTTTAGTCTGATACCATACCTTATACCAAGGGATCACAGCAAAATATTACTGCAGTTGCTTCTTCTAAACTCACCAGATTGTTAGTTCAAAACTCCTTCCCTTCCTGAAGACTCAATGAATCCTCTCCATCTCCTGCAAGCCAAGGACCATGACAGAGCTGTGTTGCTGTAAAGAAGATGACAGATGAAGACAATTTTATGAAGATCTGAAAAACTTAGCTGGACTTGCATCAGAGCTCCAACACACAGCAGGTGTGTTCAAAGCACTCATTTAAAAGTAAATGCAAGTCACTGTTCTAATACAGTGACTTCAACATTAAATAGTATTGCTTAATCAAGGCACAAATGACGTTTGTGACCCTCTAGATTCTGCAGTAGCTTCCACTTCTTGATAGTGCTTCATGCTAAAAATACTTGCTTTTAATAAGGCCTTTCACTTAAGAGTTGGACTTGATGATCCTTGTGAGTCCCTTCCAAGTCAGAATATGAAATTAGTGTGCTACACAAATTTTGAAGGCCAAGATATTGTCTGAAAAAGGGTTGTTTTACATTAATGTATTTGTACAACACAGATTAACTATGTTGAAAAATGAATAAAGATAGTTATTAACACATACTGCTTGTCAGGAAACTGTTAATCAGGCTACTTTGCAATTCCCTTCCAGACAGGAAAAAATGAAGCTTTGTTTCAATTTGCACCACTGTATAATTTTTTTATTTTTCATATGCATTAGAATACTTTATTTTTCATGCTGTGAAAAACAAATTTATTCAGAACAGCTGCAAAACAATGCAAAGAATTATTGTCTTAAAGCTGGCACTGATTTCAAAGAGGTGGAACATTCATTATTCTATCTAACAACCAGCATACTAAGGATCAACCAGATAAACATTCCAAATGCATTACTTTATTTCAGCATCCCATTTTGGTGAAAAAGAAGAATAGTCATCTACACCAGAAAACATATCTAGTGGTATGCTGGGAAAATGAATTCAATGAGCAGGATGTGGGATGTGTCTACTTTGGTCATCATGACTTAGATAAGCTTATTTGGTAGGAAAAAAAAAATTATGAAGCTTTCACTGAGATGTCAAGTTGTAATGTGTGTTCTGCAGGTAACAACTGGAAAACACCAGGTGCATGGATTGGTTTTTCCTCTCCTTCATTTCAGTCAGGGCAAATCACTTTTTTTTTAAGATTAATAATGGTTTATGTAAGAAAAAAATCTAAGTTTTCAGAAATAAGTTCTGTTTAGTACTATTAGATCTCTTTCTAGAAATAAAAACAAAAACCCAAACGTATTTTCATTGAAACAGAAGAACAAAACAATCAACCTGAAATTCCAATGGTTGACAGATTTTTGGAAAAGACGAAAAGCAGTTATGTTCTGTAGGAAGTAGTTATTTTCACATTATGAGGTTGTTTTGTTTTTGGGTTTTTTTATCCAACATTAAAGTATCTTCTTAAAACACAACAAGGATAATCTGGCCAGCACTACTGAGAATGCTTTTTTATAGACACAAATGTAGGTTCACTGCAGTGAGAGAAAAATGAGCCCTGTGTCCACAAGTAACTCAAAGGAGGACTTCCCAGTAACTTCTGATTCAGGAAACGTCCAGTGTATTCTCATAGGTTTTGTCAGTCCATAAGATAGAAAACTATCCAGACTGAAGTGTAAACACTTCCCCTTTAAAATTCCTAGCTTTAAACTACTAATTCTTCATTTATATCTTAGGTAGTTTACTAGGAAAGGTGTTATTAATCTTATTTTCAGATTAACTTTCATGATTTTCCTACATATACAGTAAAGCAGTTTGATTAATGGTTTTCTGGGAGGGAAATCTGAACTTGAAGCTTTATTGTTCTGGAAATCTTGATATTTCTTGGAGTAGCACAATATTTCTACCATATGTTTTGCTTCCTTTGCTGCAAGTAGGGACCAGGTTGCTGTGGCAACCGAGTTGCAGGATGACTAGAGAGCTGTGTTTGCTGACACTGTGCAGCAGGATTCCTGTCCTCCTTGAAGGAAGAATGTCATATATTACATTTCAGTTGTTTAAAATAGGGTTGGTTGTGATGTCTTCTTCTTGCTAATACTCACATCGCCTTAAAGGTCTGAAAGAGTCTCAGGACTCAGTTGTCATGATAACACTGAATTCCCCAAACAGAGCTAGTGTCAGGTTAACCTGACTGTTTAATCATTTATGTGGTTTGAAAAAAGCACACAAAAATACAAGAAATAAACTTAAGAAGGAAGATGGAAAATGCCCTCCAACTCAGGCTGATTATTCAACTTTCCTGTGATCCATCAGGAAAGGAAGTTCACTTTTCTTTCTGTTTCCAGGTTTCTCTCTAACAGTTCTCCTTCCTTCATCATACTACCTTGATTTTATATATACTGCCCAAAAACTTATCATACATTAAAATGAAGCTTCAGGGTGAATTCCCCACCTCTCTAAAGGCAATAAAGTGTTTTATCACTCAGCTTCCTAGGGCCACAATTCAATTGCTGGAAAAGGTAAGACCAGCCCACAGAACATGCAGGTGTCACCACTGTAACTAATGTACTCTCCAAGGTAAACAAAATCCTGAAAATAACTTCTTATTAACCTAACATTCCTTTAGCTCAAAAAAGGGCTTGTCTTCATTAAAATTGCATCCAAATATCACTTATCAAATTGGCAGATCTCATTATTTAGATTTCGGCTTTAAAATCTAATCAGTATCTTAGTGCCAAATCATTTTTATGCTCCTTCCTCATTACGAAAACTGCTATTTTCAACTTAATCAGTTTCACTACATAGTTGTATTTCATTAGACACTAAAAATCTGTGAGATTGGGGCAGTCTATTAAGGAAAGCATTAAACCTAGAGCTTGGTTTCTGAGAAATAAAGTGCTTTACAGGACTCCTAAGAGAAGAGATCGGTGGAAACATCACCCCAACAGAAATTTAGGAACTATACCTTGCAATATACTATTGTATCTAAAATGCATTCTGTTTAGAAGAACTCTCAATCACATTCAAATGGAATTACTGCCAGTCTATAATTAGACACCTATGTTTACTGGATACAAACCTCCTAAACCAACAAGAGTAGCATTCAAACCTCAGGCAAGCTTTGACACCAAAGGCCGATCATGTATCAGCTTTACTGGGGTGGGACAGGTGGGGATGAGGAAGGAGCAAACCACAAACCCCCCAAGAATTTCAAGTTTTCTTTGGAGGTGACAGCCATGTCAGACAGCAGCGAACAAAATCCCATCATTCCCATGGTTGTCTGAAGGTTGTGAGCTTGTTGAGACAAGGTGGAATATCCCTGAAAATCCAATGAAACTAATTTTGTGGGACCTTATAGAAGATACATGTAACTGCACTACAAAGCAGATATCTATTACTATGTTTTGGTGTTCCTCTGATTTTGAACACAGCAGCAGCTCAGAACATGTGCCCTGCCTGGGCCCAATCTAAACTATAAATCAGGAATAGACCTGCAAGTTTATATCAACAAGACTGCTAATGTTTCATCTTTGACAACTGCCTTGTCCAACCAAATCTTTTATTTTCTAGGAAACAATACATTTTCTTCAACGTCACTGTACAGAAACCTGGAAAACCCAAGCATTAAAATATTTCCTTCCTAAGGGTAAAACAAACTAGGCCACAGCACTGCTTGAATACAAGTGAAAACATACACAATATAATACTTAGATATGTAAGAGATACTGCTGATGTGTCTGCTGCTCACAGAAAATTTACAGCACAAATGTTGCATGAGTCAGTGGGATGGTTGCTGTCAGCTACAAATATCATCTGCATATTACGCACCTACCACATGCAAAATACTCCTGCGATCATTTATTAAGGCAGCTCTGCAATACATCAAAATAACATTATACCTACGGCAGCCTGTAGGTACTAAAATATGGCCTTCCTCCTTATTTTGCACACAGTGAAAAATGACACACTTGTGGGTAAACTTGATGATTAATTCTGACAGATAATTGAGAGTACGTGCTTGATACCACAACTTAAATATCTGAAGGCCATAGAAATATAAATGTTCTACATTTTAGTGAGGAAAAAAAAAAAAAAAAAAAGGAAGGAGAGGAACTGAGATGACAATTATTTGAGCTATACAGAATTTTAGGTGGGTAATAATTAACTTGGTGGTGAGCAGCTGAGATGAGCGATAGAGAAAAGCTCAAAGTTTTCTTGAGTAGTATCTAAAAATATCTAGGGCTGAAACAGAAGACAAACCTTTTCAGTAATTACCTCTGAATTTCATTCTTTGTTGGAAAAACAACTTCTCTCATTTACTTTAATATCTAAAAAGCAAAAGAAATTCAACACATAAACATTAAAGAACTCTGGACTGACTTGTCCTCTTTCATGTCTCTGGATAGATCAGCATTCATTAAGATGGGATAAAACTGAAAAGAGGAATTCCAAAAAGTTTTGTCTCAAAAAAACACAATCCCACAGGTGCCTTATATGGTTGAGATCATTCCTACCTCAGCACCTTCATGCAAACAAGCTTCTCCTCACCTGTAGTTAAGATCCTATGCACAGCACAGGGAATGGTTTCAGTTCTGGACAGGAATATGCCTTGAATAGCAACACATTAGCATGGCCTTCTGAGTATCAACCAGCTGTAAGAGTAGCTTTGACAGGACTGTCTCTTCAGTCCTTGTTGAGAATTAAAGGCAACCAAGATAGAATCTGAAAGCAGAGGAAAGTAGCCTCCATCCCACCATGCATGGACTATATGGGTCCCAGAAGAGAGGACAGCAGCAACAGAAAATGAACCTATGATCAGACAGAATCAAAGCATTTCTTAGAACAGCTTTGTCTAGAGCTGAGCCTGCTCCTCAGGGAAAGGATTAGTAGTTACTGAGGAATTCTCAAGTGGATTCTTCTCCTCCACTTTTCCTTTGCTGTATACAAGCAGTATTCATATTTTCCATATTTTCCAAGCATCACCCACCACATTGTTCATTCAAAGGTCAGGCCAACACATATGGCATGCAATTGAGAACGGCAAACATGAAAACATTTGTCATTAATCATTAAAACCCCTAAGTATAAACATAAACAGTTACCTACAAAGGATATTTCATTTCCTATGAAAGGAGGTGGCAGTGGATGCTCACTAGCAATGAGTTG